GGACATAATTTATTTTTTCTTTCTTTCACATCTTATCCTTTTAATCAGGATAGTCATCTTTAGGTTTATGTGTGTGCCAGAGCACTCTCTTAGCATTGTTTAATAGACTCCAAGTCACAGAGAGCTCACCAAGTGTTGCAGGCTAGCTGGTTCTCTAGAAGACAGTGTTTGTTTTTAAGAGAATAATCAATACCTTAGAGCCACAGAACACATTTGCTGAGTGGATTATCAACTGAATCATAATTTCCTTTATGAAAACAGATGGAATTTCCCTGGCCAGAGTCCCCACGTTGGCACCAGGCATTCGCAGGCACAGCTGAACTGCACCAAGGAGAGAAGCCACCACACCTTGGTCTTGGTTGAGCAGGGTGCTAAGAAGTATAACCACCATAGTTAAAAGAAACAGGCATTGCTAAAAAACCTGCTATATTCAGGGTGTGTGGGAGTGAACCGTGATCCTTAACGTGATTAAAAATACCAGTCACAAAACCAGAGACCAATTAATTTCTAGACTCAGTATTGTAACACTAAGAAAAGCTGAGTTTAAAATTGCATTTACTGACATCTTTACAAGTGCAGGCAAAGCCAAAGAGATTAGTAGGGAAATGTATGTGTCAGTCTTTCCCACAAATGTTTTTGTGGGGTGACATCACAGGCAAGACTTGGAATAAGACTTGGTCCCTTACAGGACCAACTTAGCTAATGTGCAACAGCTCCAGACACTGCAGAGGTTGAAAAGTAGTGCTGGAAAATTATTTAAAGGTCTCTTCATACAAATTTAACATGGAGGAGGAAAAAAGCCAGCACCAATCCACTGAGCAGCTCCACAGCCCTCCTCAGAGAAGCAGCGTAAACCAGAAGTGGACCGTGGACTTCTTGAGAACTTCCAAGCCAGCAGTTACTGGGCTGTGACATTCTGCTGCTTCTCACCAAACAGGCCTCCTGCCCTTTGCTCTCCCAACCCCAACAAAACCCAGCAACATCAGATTCACCCTAATTTTGTTACTTTCAATACGAATGTAGCTGGCTTGCCAACAACATAACATGCTTCCAAAGGCATTTCTCCTTCCCAGCTGTGGTTGGTTTGGCTTTTTTTGTTTGTTTGTTTTGGTCTAGACATTGATATCAACTTTCTTGTATTTTATATCTTATTTTCTTGAGTTAATTTGAATTTTGAACAAACTGAAATCAAAACTCCTTACCTGTCCCTGTCAGGAAAAATATTACAAGTTGGTTTTCGAACATTCAGATGGTTTAGCCCAAACTGGTTTATTTTAGGAAAAGGATTGAAATAACTTAGAAACTGAATTTAAAATGAATCAGGAAAGAGCAGAGCTCAGAATGAAGAGGCTTTTCCACACTAGGAAACCTCGTGCATTTCAAGAAGTCTCTGCCTTGGCATAAAATGAAGCACTTCACTTAGGAGCAAGGAAGGAAATGGATTCTTCTGTGGCAAAATAGCCAAAAGCCAAGGGAACTGAAAGCAGTGCAATTCAGACTAAGGCTTTCAAATAAAACTTCCAGGCACAGACTTGTTTGCTCCTCCTGTGGAGTCACCTCACCTTACGTAAATACATTTCCCTGAGCCCAGAGCAATGGACTCTGTGATCACCAGCGCTGGGACGCTCAGTGGGACTGACTAGACACACACCATTCCCACCATGTGATCAGCACTCCCACTTCCAACAAAAAATCAACCAGCCATAAAATTCCCAACTGTTCCCATTATATCACCTAGCTGGAAGCATCTTTTTGAGTCCAAATGTTCGTCAGTCATGGCACCATCAGAAGGAATCCACATGAAAATGATTTCAAGCCTCAGCCTACAATTATACCCTGATCATAAACACTCAAAAATAGTTATTTCCCCCTATTTACTCATGCACAGCTGCAGAGAAAACGAAAATCGACTCAAAGCAAGCAGTGTTCACAAGGGAGTTCTGCACCAGACAAAGCTCAGAGGCCAGGAGTGTTCACCCAGATGCTCTACAGAGCATTGTGACAGAAGGCTCATTTCCTTCCTTGCCTCCCTGCTCCCCCATGGCAGCCTTCCCCCTTTTTTTCCCCGTTCCAAGCTACACACTTTATTTCTTCTGCATTATCTAACTTGGCCTGAGTTTTGGCAGTTCTCACTTCATCCCTGCACTGCCTGACCCCTAAGATGCAGCTTGCTTGGCCTATCAGCATTTCTTTCCCACTCAGCCCCACTCTTTGCAGGCTTATTTTTAAGTTCCTTCTAGAGCGAGCTGTCCTTACTCGTTCAGAAAATGGTGTTCTGTCAGCATGTTTGAGCTAGAAAAAACAAAAAATGAAGCAAAAATAGAGGCATACACACACACTCCTTTAGCTTTCTAGTCCAGCTGATTTTACCAACCTCTGCCACATGTACCCTGCAGTAATGTACACACTCCACCTCGGCTTGCTTTGAACAGTTCTTTGTAATGGTGTTGTCACCTAATGAAGGTAAGTTCCAAGAAAAGTCCCGTTCCTATCAATTCACTGAGCTAGGAGCCTCCTCCTCCTCTCTCCCTCTTGAAAATACCCCTTACAGTAACAAAGGTGCATCAGAGCTGTTCTCATCTCATCATGCCCCTCCTGCCAGGATATAGAACTCTGATTGCCTGAGCCCTCACATCCCTGAGCACCTTCTCCAGCACAGGACACTTGCTTGTGGTTCACTCCAGTGGGAGTCTTGCAGCATTTCTCTAAAAGACAGCACATACCTTCCCAGTCCATGAGGCTCCTTTCCTGTGCCAGACCCACCTTTCCAGTCCAAGGTCCTGGCAGACAGTACATTTGTTGAACCTGTCGTGGGCCTGTCGATTCTCAACGAGCAGTCTCCAAGCACATTTACCCCTTACCAACGCTGGTGTAAATCCAGTCCTTTCTTCTAGCTTTTGCCTTACTGGTTAGCTATGAACGATTTAGGGTAGAAATTAAGAGGTTCATTGACAAGAGATCAGTCAGGCTGAGAAACAGTTTCTTAGTGTAAGCAGTGAAGGCAAATCTTATTTTTTGGATACTCTATTTCAACACCACTTCCTCTATTTATGAAAGTGATGATGTGACATACTGCATGGGATAGCAATGAACTGGAGTTGATGACCCCAGTGATTCCCTTCTGCCCTGCTGCCCTCATGTGAATACTGTAGATAAGCACAAGTTCCTCTCCTCCCTTCCTTGCATTCACCCTGAGGTATTTGTGTGGCAGCCACAACCCCTCCAACTTTGATTTGGCCAGACTGACTTAGCCCAGCTCTCCTCGTCTCCTGTTCAAAGTCATCTGAGGTACCACGTGCTACCTGCCATGGAACTGAGGTGATCTGACACAAAGGAAAACCTTCCCATCACTGGTGTGAGGAACTTCCGGGGTAATTTTTCCACACTCAGGATCAGCAAACAAGGTTTAACAAAGCATCCTCCAAGAACATACTCTGTGAATTGAGAGAGTCTTTGCTTCACAGTATTCAACAGCACTATATGACAATGCTGCTCAAAAATTCCCCATTTCCTACCTCCACAGACTTTGAAGTGTGGCTGGAAGGGAACCAGTCAAAATCATGTAGTGCCTCAGCATTCTGCTGCTGTTCTGCCTTGGCCAAGACTGGGTGGCAAGGACCAGAGGAGGACAGGGGGTACCACCACAACACAAAGCATTTAAATGGAAATGGGGCTAAGGGATGCAACAGAAGTTCCACTGATCTCAAAAGGGAATAAACAAATACTATTGCAGAAGAGCCTCTGAACACATTACTTAATTGATGGAATTTCAGTACAAGAATCACATAACCAGGTGTAAAAATCTTCAAATGTAATTTATTAAGACATTCAGCTATGTCTGTCAGTCTACATCCAAATTTACTACTAAAAATAAAATAGTATCACATTTCACATTAGGAATACCGACTTTGAAAAACACTTGAGTCAAGCCTATTGTATAAATAAGTGACTAATTTCTCTTCATATCAAAATTCACATAAAAAAATTGCCTGCCCCCTACTCCCACCTATTTCCCCACCCCAGTCCCTAGTTCTACTTGAAGCCATGATGCATGTAAAAATTGAAGTATGGACATGTCCTTGTCAAAAGAAAAAAAAGGTGCAAATCTATTAACAGCTTTAAAAGTGGCATTTGCGGAGTCTGATCATACACAATAATGTACTCATTCCCAAAGTGCAAATATCGCCAGAATTTAATACTGTTTTAATTCAGCTGCAAGAATTAAACATTACACAGCACAGTACTGCAGGGCCTCTATCTGTGCCCTAAAGCTCATCCCACTTTCCTCCTGCACACAGTAGCAGAGGTCAAAGCGTTCATTAGAGCTTTAGGTTACTTCATGCAGCCCAGACTGTGCCCGTTATTAGCAAAAGTTTCATATACATCAAAATATTGAAGACTCCGTCATAAAAGTCAAGAGTCACTATAGATTACATGAATTCAAACGCAACTGCCCCACCAAGAACACCCAAAGCATACACATGACGTATTAAGAGTGCTTCCATCTTCTAGTACAACCACCGCTGGTTTATCTTCGGTTTATGCTTACGTGCCACAAACACAACCTGGTCAGTGACCAGAGCTGCACCTCAGTCAGTGACCAGCAGCCCACCGCATCGAACGCCTCTGGGGGACCCTGGGGCATGGCTGTATAAGACACCCTCTTCCTGACCAAACCAAAAGCCAGCATGCTGCTCCTCTGCCTACAGCCTCTCTCCTTTCTCTTCTCCCTCACCTACGTCTTGAAAACGCTCTTGCACTGCAATTTGCTTCCAGACATCCTTCCTATGCCCAACAGTTCGGAGAGCCTCTGGAGTCATTTCTACTACATCTCACTGGAGTTACCACTACCAAGCAGCCCACAAAAATCAGCATGGGAGATAACGTTTTGACCAGCATTAAGAGCTAAACTTCTTTCACAGCTGTGGAAGGACAGGTTTTCTTCTGAGTCAGACTCGGATCTCTGAAATGTCTTTGTTCCCGCGTTGTCCTTTGTCACCTTAGAGCTGGACACAAACCCCCCAGTCTCGAGTGGGGCACCCCTCTGAGGCTGCAATGAGTTCTGCAGCACAAGCTGCTCCCTGGCTGGCCTCACACGGGCTCGTGTCACCATCCACTTTCGGAGACCCCTCTGCTTCAGCAGGGGCCTCCAGGCTGTCCTGTCCGTCAGCAGCCTGCCCGTTGCTCCGGCTAGGGCTGTCCTTCGAATTTGGCCCACTGTGGTGCTGAACACCAGGGGGCTCAGCTGCATCTCCAGGTCTGGTATTTTGCTCTGCTCTAGGACTTGGCTGTTGAACTGGCTCTGGTCCCAGTCCGGGTAGCTGCGAAGGGCTCTTAAGCTGGCAGTGGCACAGAGGGCAGGTTTCCTGCACATAGAGCCATTTCTTAAGACAACCCGCATGAAAAAAATGGCTACACGGTGTGATCACAGCAGTTTTCATATCCTGAAAGACACAGAAAAAAGAAAGGTCATATTATTTGTAATCCCACTCCTCTCCTCTCACTCTGTGTATCTAATGGGTCCGCTAGCCACAGAGGAGAAAGAAGTAGTCCATGAGCAAGAAAGAATGTTCCTTCCTTCACACCAACAAGCCTATGCATTTAAATATACACACAATTCAAACACAGGCCAGGTCTGGCCATTTATATTACAGGGATTAGGAATTAGGCAAAAAGCTTTGTTTGTAAATTATTACACTTAAATAAAAGCATTTGTAGGATGAGCGTCACAGGCTCAGTTGCTAAGGAACAATTGTGCAAGTCAAAACCAGCACACTTACAGATACAAGATGTAACAACAACAGGCCAGAAGCGAAGTAACACCCTGTCAGCTGAGACCCACATATTACTGTCTGGCGTTTCAAACACTGCCATTCCACCTGGCACCAGTAGTTCTACTCTTCAAAGAATCTGTACCAAGTTTGGAATCAATCCAATTGCATTCCAGCTGCACACTACTAATCTTAGGGTGCTGCTTCCACTGTCGTACATAGCTACAATTTCTGTCCATGAAAAAGAGACTTTGGAGCTGGAGGTGTGATAAAGATACTACTTTCAGCATTGATTTCTACAGTCCTTACATCTGCTGGCTTAGATTAGAAAGTCCCTTAACCTTTTGATAATTAGGTTTCTGTTATAAAACTGACATAGTACATTAAGTGAAAGTAGCAATGTCTGTAGAGACTGAGCTGCTTCTATGGAATAATAACAAATCAGCTACTGAGTACACCTTGTCCTTCAGTGACGAAATCTTCCACTAATAAAGAAAGGGCATATTTGCTGTTACTACTGAAACCAGCTCAATCCAAACACAAGAGGTTTCAAAGAAGCTCAAGCACACTGTTGTGTAACTGGAAAAATAGAATGAGAGCTTAAACACACCCAAACCATCTCTTTATTCATAAAAACTATCCAGCACTCCAATTTTCACAAAGCAGAAAACTGGGTAATTCAAGTAACTTTTTGAGCACAATATTGCTCATTAAACATCATTCAAGTAACATATTTTACTAGCTGCAGACTGAATTTGACAGTCTGGAGATACTTAAGTTCAGGCAACCTTTTGTCACTTCTATTCTTACCTGGTAGCAGATGGCACAGATATCGTTGTGTTGCTCCAGCTGCTCCTTTGTGGCGACGGGCAGTGATTTGATCTTATTCACAGCATCTCTGCGAAGGAGGAAACTCTTCCACCCCAGCTGGGCCCGCAACCACACATTGTAGTAGGAGTGAATGAAGATGATCACAGAACCCATCACAGTCCATTCACCAAAGACTGTTTCTGAGACACCATAGGCCACCACGCAGAGCGCGACGAGGAATTCCAGCAGGCGGTATGTGCCGTTTACATAATAAATCACATCATCCATATTTTCTACTGGTTCTTTTCTGAACTCTTCCACCATGAACAAAACATAAATGAAGAGTGTCCCAAGCACCTGTAACACAGTGCAAGACCATGAGCTCAGCATTCAATTCTGAACTGGAGCATACATCATCCAGCACTGTCCATTGAGCTCCGTACACACCACGCTCCCAAACCAGAGGACAGGCAAGCCCCAAAGTATTAAAATTGCTGCTGGACTTCAAGACAAATCAAATTCATTTGTTCTTACAAAGCATTTAAGCTTGCCCCCGAGTACTTCCCCTGCTCCTGAGTCCAGAAGATAGCTGAGTTGATTAAACAAAAGTGCTGAGCATCACGAGGGGGGATTTTATAAATTGAATAACAAAAAAAGCAAATTATAACAAATACTGACAGTACAAAACACTTCCTATATTTACACTACTTGTTTTGACTATCAAATGACTTTCAAAGAGTCATACCTAACTAAAAATACATATATGAACACTCGGGAAAAAAGCCTTTTTACAACAATAGTTATGTCCTCAAAAGCCTTCTGGCTCTGCAATCTGAAATAAGACTTACATTCACCTATGTTTTCAGGCCACCCCTAGGAACTCCTTAGCCTCAGATACAGGATAAAGAAAGAGATTTTATATCATATCTTGTACTTCTGCCCTTCCATCATTCTTGTTCTTTTCTCATCATCTATTTCCCCCCCTAGAGTAACAGCATCACAGTTAATGCAGGGCTTCACAGCTACTACCAGGCTAACATTCTTACCTGAAGAGAGGTCAGGATACTGCTGGAGATAATGATCAACAGCCAAAAATCCATGTGGAAAAACTGACAAATCATGTAGGCCATGTACGCGGGGAACACGAGCAAGAACAAACAGAGGCTGACTGCTCGGAAGTGCTTCCACAAACTCCTGCAAACAACACAATAGGTTTTTATTTCTGAAGACAGATTGGAGTGTCTGAGTAAGAGCAGGCAGACTGCTGGATGTAGGCACGTTAGATGTTTGCTTAAGGCTTTAACTTGTTGAAAGGAGTTTCCATTTCACTTGGGCACAGTCTCGTTCCCAGCATACAAGACATGCAATATGAAAACCTCTCTCTCATCTGACCTTTGCTGTTTTCAATACAAAGAAAAAGATTATAGGCAAAAATTTACCTACAGTATTTGTCACAATGGTTCAAGTCAGTGATAAGACAAATTAAGTATCTGAGATACTGTTTCAGTTGAAAGTCCATTAAAATAAATAAAATTAATATGCATGTAACTGTTCGTACCCTTTTCTATATTGACAGAGATCTCCCAGATTATATACTTATTCCAACTCTTCTATGTTTTTTTGCTAACATCCATAGAGCAAAGGTATTTCCTTTCATCACCAGATTGAACCTTGCTGCCTTTAGAAGTGTATTCCCCAATTCAGAGATCACGAAAGAAGAAATGTAGCAGAACTTGAACATTCATCTCTGCCAGTCCTCACTCTGCCTCCTACCTCCTCCTAATCTCCTCCCCAACCTAAACACACCATCAATCTTTTTACACCCACCTATTTTTGAAGGCTTTCAGAATAGCTCCAGTAATTTACTACACCTCTACATATTCCTCAGGTTGCATTTCAATCTCATTTACCTCTGGAAATGAGGTACAGAAAAAGTGAAAGTCCTGTGGGGACAGGACAGTAGCAGAAACTGGCTAGTTCAACACAGTCTGCAGAAACATCAGAACACTACTGTGAGGTCTGCAATCCTCTGTTTGTGGTGAGGGAGAAAGAGAGCTGAAGTGGAATTTATTCTGATCCTAGTTGATTTAGAACTGCCTGGAAGATTTGGCAGAAGGGAGTTAAAACTCTCTCACCACAGACTGCTTGTTTAAACTGGGCAGATGCTCATATCCTGGCTCTACTCCCTTTCCCTCTGTTACTATACTGGAAGCTAACACTGCTGCAGGCAGAACATGCTGGCTACAAGTAGCCCCAAAGCTAAACAAACTCTCAACATAAATAAATAAATCCTCTCTTTTATTTCTTCACTTACAGGTTACAGAAAGGGAAAAGACACAAGCAATTAGCAAATATACAAAGAGATTAATACAAGAACACCAGATACCATACAGCTCTTCAAAACACAGACCTAGCAACAACAATCCCACACAATCCCAACACCTTGTACACTAAAGCAAGCCTTCCATCTCTTTACTGCCAGTAAACCCTGTCATTTTGGGATCCCAGCTTCACATAAAAAAAAAGTTTTACAATCTCTACCACACCATGGCCTTGCACAGGCTGGATGGACTCAGTCCTGAGCAGCATCGGGTGACCCAAGTCACCCCTGGTTGCCAGCACACAGCATGGTGAAGAGGATTACTGTGTGCCCTCCAGGGAGCAGGATAGAGAGGAAAAAACGAGAGAATTTAGAGTAGAAAAGAAACCTGTGTGCAGAAAAGACAGGGTAACTTTACAAGCTACTAGAAATCCAGGTCAGGTCATCGACTACTAGTTTATCAACTCTTAAAACAGCATTTGAGTAACTTTGGGTTTAGAAAAACAGTCTCTTACTTGTCCCTTGAGGCTCCCAGTGCCAAGACAATGGGATCAGCAATTTCCAGCATGGACTGAAGTATGGATGCCACCACTATGAAAAGAATGATACTGAGCAGGAATGCCCGATGCACAACCTGGAGCTCAATCAAGCCTGTCTGCACAGCCAGGATCAGGAGCGTGACTCCTTCAGTCATTCCCCTGCAGATCAACACAGTGAAAAGAACAAACAACCACATCTTTCTGAGTGTCAACGTTGGTTAAAAAACACATCTAGAAACAACAGGAAATAAGCTGTCTCTTTCTGCCATAACCCTTCAAATGTCACTGCTTTTTAACTTCTGCTGATGTACCTGCTAAGACTTTAACCACAGAGGAACATTTCCAGAAATGTTGAAGTGCCGGGGGTTAGGAACTAGCAGATTTCAGTGCCTGCTCCTGACTAGCAGTGTATGAGCTACATCCAGCCCAGCAGATACCACCCAATGTCAAGGACCCCCAAGCATAAAGCATTTTAAGGACCTAGGTTGCATCTTAAAAGGAGGAACCCACCAGCTCAGTGCTGTCCACACAAGCCTGACACAGCCCTGCTATGGCTACACCCGGGCACCAGCCACCCTCATTCCTCATCACCACGAGGACCCTCTCCACCTCTCCATCACAATCCTCCTGTCTGTCCTTTGGCCCTGGGAGAAACAGCCCTGACTTGACACCCCACCCAGTGCCCAGTTTAGGTAAATCAGCAATTCAGCCATTTTCCAGTTTATTCTCTCTGTACCTACACCAAACAGCTGTCCACTTCTTTTTGGCTTGGAACCTCAGACTATATTTATTTCCTCCAAGCACCACAATTTGAAACAGTGAAAGTACAGACTGCCCAGCACAGTATGTTTCCCCAAAAGATGCTTTTATGTAGACTACTCCTGGGTAGCCTCAATTTATACAGTTTTTGCATCCACATCTTGGAATCCAAAATGTAATATATTCTTTTGCATATGGTCTGAAATTTCTATAGAGTTAAGGGGTGGAGTAACTGAGAAAGGTAATTTCACAACTAGGATCCCAATTTCATATTAGAGAAGCTGGGACAAGCATTAAGACAAGGCAGTTTCTATATTTTTTGCTATCTCCCATAGTAATTTACAGGCAGTCCATATAGTGTTTTAACCCTCAAAGATTAGTAAGGTTTCACACATGACTACAGGGTAAATGAGGAAAAGGAAATATGAAGAGTTTATATTATCCAAGCATGTGAAAATTTTCCAGTGACTCATGAAAATGAAGACACTGAAGAGAATCAAACTGTGAAATTATAAAACCCGACTAACAGCCCTGAATTTCTTACAGAAACGAACCATGTCCCAAGAACTCTGTAACAAGCTGTACACTCACCTCAGTCCTTCCAATGTACACATACACTTGCATACAAAAAGCCTCTCAAGGCTACCCAGGAGTTCTTAAGATAAAAAACTGCAATGGAAACCATATATTCCTGTATAAAATCCTTTTGTCTGCTTCTTTTTAGACCCTAGGCACAAGGAGGCGCTTACCTGTTCATAGCAGGATCATTCATGAATGCTCGGTAACCCTGCAAGTAGAACTTGCAGAGAGTCAGAACTCCCAAAGCAACAAAGGAGACTGTGAAGACCAAGCCCAGGAGCGAGTAGGGAGTGCTGCAGCACTCGGCAATACTGGGAGGACAGAGGGGAAAAGAAAAAGAAAATCTCCATCAGTTAAAAGCAACAATGAACCCTCCTCATGTCCTTTGAACTGTGCAAGCGGTTTTTAAGGCAAAACTGGATTCATTTAATGACAATATTAGAAGCTCTCCAACAAAAAGGAAGAGCAGAGACGAATTCTGTCACTTCTTGCTCAGACACAACTTCATCTCGGCTCCCCCCCGGCACTAGCTGGCCACTGCTCCAGTGTCTCTCTGGTCCCCTCCAGCGCTGAGCCACACGGTGGCACTGTCCCGCTGGCGCAGGGCTCTCGGAGCCAAAACTCGACCTGACAGCCGCACGCACCCAGGTCACGCCCTGAAATGTAGTCCCAGAGAGTGAGACCTCAGAGTGCGCCTGAGGAGGCTGAGAACAGCTCTGTTACTGCAGCTCTTCTCTGCACCCTGGCACTGCAGGACTGGGAGTGGCCAAAGTGTGTCAGTGCTCTTCAGCCTCTGCAACAAGGGGAGTGCAGTGCACCCACAGGCCCCAACACTAGGAAAAGAGCCAGCCAAGGACTACACATCTGGAAATCCTCACATAGTCCAAGGTATCCACTGACACCCCCATTCATTTTAATTAAAAATAAATAAAGTCCTTGGTGGTTCCCCAGGATAGTAGCCTTGGGAGAGAAGTTACAGTGGGCATAAACATGTCATGCTAATTGATCAACTGCAGAGTGAACTAGTCCAGTGCTCCTACAAAACAGTTTTGAGGAAGTATATGCTTCAAAAGTAAAAAACCCCATCCAAGAGACCTTTACTTTGTCTCTTTTAATGACTACCTTAACCAGAAGTCTTCTTTGTAAGCAATTTGCAACAGAAAATGTTGGTGTGTTTACATACACTATTTGCAGTGCTTCTGATAAGCCTTCAAATTCTGCCCATTCACCAAGTTGAGCAGGGCTGAAAAAGCTTTTACGTGTTCCTGTTGGTCAAGGTAGTGAGTAATGCAGTATTTAAAGCAGTTGTTTCTGCCAGATATTTGAGGAACTCTAAGTTTTGCTTCAAAATAAATGGTCAGAAATCAAGAATCCTGGCTTTTCTGCCTGCTGTCCAATCCTTTTTTTTTTTTGTCAGAGTAATTTCAATACCCTTCTTAAACTTATTTCCAGATGATCTACTACGTAAGGGTCCCAGAGGAGCTTAAGAGCTCAAAGAGAAGCCTGGGGAGCTCTGAGTGTTATTTTTATATGTCAAGCAAGAGTTTATAAATTGTTCCACAGAGCTGAACTCTTGAAAAATTACAGCAGTCACATAGTCATGGAAAAGATTTTGAGAGGAACAGCAAGGACAATGAAAGGTACAGAAGAGCTTCTGAACAGCAAACATGCAAGCAAGAGCTCTCCATTCTAGGAAGAACAGACCTATACAACTTGACTTTAAAGAACAAAACTCTTTGATCTTTCCTCTCCCTGCCCCAAGACATGAATTGAGGGCATTGAATGAACCTACATGGATTCAAACAATCAGAATGGATTTCTCATCATACAGACCAGGTTAAGCTGTGAAACTCCTTGCCTCGGGATCTTTCAAATGACACAAGCACACACAGGTTCAAAGGCAGAAAGCACAGACTGATGGAAGAGAAATCTTTTGAGGGTTACTGAACACAGATTAAGCATATCCAGCTAACGCAGCCCGACAGCTGGAGCTGGGTGTGGGACTGGATGAGCACTAGGGAACATGGCTGTCTGTTGTATTACAGGTGGCTGTCTTTCCATGCACCCATTACAGTCACTGCTGGCAACTGGATCCTAGGCTAGATCAGGATTTGGTCTGACCCAGTACAGCCACTCAAGATGTTCTTAAAAAATCCAGACACAGCTATTCTGCACACCCCAACTGCTCTCACCTGAATTCCAGCAACACTATTTTAAGTAATCATTACACTTAAAGGGCACAGATGCAGAACTCACTTTCATGGAAGATCACATCTTTTCTTCCATTTTCTTGAACAGACAGCACTACATTATTACCTGGCCTGACAAGGTATTTCAGCTCCCTCCTAAGGGGCAAGAAGTTCTCAGTGGTACTGCTGAAGTTTGTGTGTTTTAACATGAATAAGCATTACTATTTTTCTGTGACTATTTTGACTTTCTATTTTGACTGTGACAGAATTGAAAACACTGAAAATATTTGCATAATTTCTCTGTACTTTTCCAACTGCAGACAGAACTTCAGAGATCAACTGGTATTCATTTACTCAGATGAAATCAATGCAAGTCTACAAAGCTAGTTACCTGTTTTGCCATGAACAGGGGAAGTCTAACAATTTGGTGTAGGAATAAACACATTTACAAAGGAAAGGATAACTTTCCCCACCTCTGCTAACTGCAGTTCCTCTGTTGTAACAAAACAAACTGCAGCTGACATGAACAGCAGGAAAAAGTTCAGACAGCAATAGTTTAAGGTAAGAATCAGGTAATATACTCAGTGCTTTTACACAATGCAGTGTGACACTAAGCAATTTTAATACTACATGTAATAAAACCCCTGGCACATCTCCTTAATTATAATGAATTTTGGCAGCATACACTCTAGCACCTTAGATATACACACAGAGAGGCAAGAACAAACTAAGCAGTCAGAAAGTCTGATTGGAAAACTGAAGTAATGAGCAAAGTTCCTCAAACAGGTTGCTACCCAAACAGAACTAATTATGTATGGTCTCCAAATAATACTTCCTATGTTACCTGTTTTTAGACAACTACTACCTCTTTTCTCTCCATCTCAGTATTACACTATCTCATTTGCCTAACCCACCTTCTGCAACACACCCAATTCCTCTCTGCTTCCTTTCCTGTGCTCCAATTTCTAGCTAAACAGCCACCAAAAGCACATAGGGTCCAGCAGAAGAATCCCTCAAATTCTGCATTCCTCTCAGTAGGAGCACTAACACGGGCCTCTCTTCTTTACCTTACAATCAGTTTTTTTACAAAGCTTTTGGGAATTTGGTATCTGTAAGACCTTTATACCTCTGCCAAATTAATCACTGGGCTCAAAAGTTACTTTGGGAGTTGGTTACTTGCAGCTGCTTGGATGAACTCAAGGATGTGTTCCACATCAGAATGAAGGAACGAGATAAAGGGTTCAGAAAGCAATACAATCATGAATAAGATACCAGTTGGACTGAACTTCAGCTGTAATACTTCAGATTTAAAACCAATTTGTACACTGAAAACAACTTCGGACCAAAGCTCTAATTATGCTTGCTTTGGGAACTCTCTCAGTTCTACTAATGCTGTCTGTCCTGAATGGGATCTGAATGGGGGTTCTGAAAGACAAGTTTACATACATGGTCACTGTGCTAAAGACAAATATTTGCTGGGTATCCAAAGGCAGTAAAGGCAATCTATGTATCTGGTCTCTAAAAAAGCACATACATTCATTTCAGAAGACAGTCAAAACCAGAAAATGGACTATTTGCAGACCAGTTAATTACCTTGTCAAGAAGAGGAAGAGGAGCCTCTCTCTTGAGGCAGGCTGGTCCCGTGTACTGAAATAGGAATAGATCTGAAGAGCAAATAAGACAAGCCAAAACACCATGAAAAGAACTGGGACGACCAGCTGGTTCCACAGAGACATCCCCAAAGCCAGGAGACCATACACCTCCACCACCTGGGCAAGAGAGAAAAATGCAGTTTGTTACTGGTTCCCAGCACCTGTGGTTTGATAGCAAAAGGACAATCAACAGCATAGCCACAAGGAAGCTAAGGGTAATTCATGTGGCACCAGCCACCCCAAAGGAAAAGAGGAGGTACATCAAACTACAGCCTGACAGATGGACAGCCAGGTTCAGCAATGACATATTGCCAGTCTGCCTTAAAGTATGGACCAGCACCTGACTGCAGCAAGTTATCAGACCAGCTGAACGCCCCCTCCTAGGAGTAGCCACCTTAGAGCTGCCAACTGCAGCCCCTGCCCCCAGGTCACACACAACCCTCACACACCTTTCTGCCCAGCTTTAGTCACAGCAATGTTGTTTCCTCTGGGACTACAGCCAAGTCACTGCACACACTAGATATTGAAATATGAGCCACGTCACCTCAGTACAGCAAATCTCCTTAAAAACAGTTCAGCAAAGCAAAAACTTAATACCCAAGACAGTTGACATTTAAGTATCTCAAAAAGAACATTCAGACAAGCAGACTTCTGACTGCTCCTAATGCACTGTTTTGAAAACCCACTAAGTGTTTTGAAATTCGTGCTTAAGAGTTATTTCAGAGGACTCTGAAGCTCAGGTTACTTCTTTCATACTGCAAAGGCTAAGTTACAATGCAGTACCTTCCAAGAACCTGGAACTTCACATAGCTGGACTGAATACAGAAAATCAAAAGGAAATCACTCATAACTACTATTTCCTCCTCAATTGCTTCCCACAGTGGCCTATAATCTATAGTGGCTGGGAAACTTTAGTAAATGCTAAAAAAGCTTCCTACCTAGTCTTTCTTGACAAGCATAAGGGATACTGTGTTCATGGGACCTGCTGTTGTATGTACAGTGGCTGATGGACAAGCAATATGCTGCTGGCTGGGACGTGGTGCCAAGCTCCAGCTTTTCACTTTGCACTCGTGAAGGAAGTGCATCTGCCCTCAGGAGGTTCCCCTGGCCTGGGACCAACGCTAGCAATGCTGTGCAGCTCCTGGCAGAGTGCTCCACCACATCGGAAAAGGGTCATGCTATGCTCATAATGTAGATTCACAACCATGAAGTATTTCTGGCATCTGCTGCTGCAAGCAGGCAGCCAAGGTTCTGGACCTGCTCTTAAATTATACCATTAGCCACTGTCTGAAAGAGACACAAAAAGCTGCCTTGGCCCACACAGTAGGGCTGTCTCAGGAAACACTCCTGGTGTTTAACATCCCAATATGCACTAAGTTTTGCCACTGATATCAAAACAACAATCAAATCCGGCCGGAAGAGCAGTAAGCTCACAGCACCAGGATGAAGGCATAACTGAAAACTAACAACTGCACAAAGCTATAGTGATGGAAATACAAATAGGAAAACATTCAAGACAAAACAAGAATATCCTCCTCTGGAATAAACTTACTAAGTTTGATTTGTAGTAGAGTTGGAACCAGTAATATGAATGAACACATTATGAGCCAATGTTTTTTCTTCTGTTCTGTTTCAGGAACACAGGCAAAGAGCAGCAAGCTCTTTAAAAGTGAAAACTCTGTTTTTCCATATTGTCAATACAATGCAAAAACCACTCACACAACTTTTCATTCCAACCCACTCTCTACTACGTGTGTTTAGAAAGGCAGCATATGACATTATTATAAATCCAATGCCACATTATAAACTTTCTGCCATTTTCTCTGTATACCAAAGGAAAAAAAACACACCACAGTTTATGCCCTCTGCATAAAAAGTCAGGAGAAAAGGCTATGATCGGTATCCAAAGGCCATGCACAAGGAATATCCCTTCCTCCTGATTACATCACTGATACAGCCTGGCATACAAAGATTTGAAATACTGGGGGGAAGACAGACAAGTAACCCTAGAGATGAGGAAATCTGTTTAACAGCTATATTTAGAATATAGATCTGACAAGCAACAACAACAAAAAAAATCACCAAGGAACCACTATTTCCTCCCTCACCCCAGAATGTACTTGCAGTTAAAACATTCATAAGGTGTTGAAGCATTTTAAACATAAGTGTCTAATAAAAAATAAACACGTGACTCTTTACATCTGCATCCAATCTGAATTTGACTTTAGGAAGCTAAACTCTGCATCTGCTCATGCACATGGAAAATGGAAATTCTAGTTCAAACCTGTTGCAAGTCTTTGAGCTGCACAAAGCTGTGCAACTGTTTTATACCATGTTACCACTAAGTAAACAGAAAGCATGATTTTCCTATTCTCATTGGAAAAAACAAAACTGAAACTTTCAATTACCTCCCAAATTAGTTGTTTTTATCAGCAAATCTACAAGATCAGACCATGCTAAGTGCTGTACAAGCACAGAAGGATAATCCTGCTCCAAAGACCAATTACATACAAAATAAATAACCACAGCAATGATCCATATGACAGGCTGAGGCTTTGGCACGCCAGACACTCACTGCTGCCAAGTGTTTGTTTGTGTATGACAGATATGACAGCAAAGAAGAGCTTTAAAGAGGGCTCTGAAAGAGCTTAACAAGTTAGGTTTCAGGCTGCTTCTGGACTGAACGGTAGAAGACAGAAAAACAGTGGCTTGGTTTGAAAAAATCCAGCAAGTGGTAAGAGCTGAAATAACCTGTCAGAAGTCAAGTGAGCATCAATCTTTTCACACTGAAACGTACAGATGGATGCATATACACATGTATCTTATTTTTATAGAAAAAAAATGGATACATATCAGATCAGTCTGCTGTTCCTGCTAACCCTTTTGTTAAGAGGTTTCAGCAATGCTGCTGTTCTGAAGCAAATACTACAGACCTTTCAAATGACTAAGTTCAAGTTACAAATCACTAAGTCAGCCATTATTACGGTCAAAATCAGCTTTAGTGTTACTCCCAATTTAACACACAATAATCACAAACTTTTTGTAAAGAAAGCGTTTCTTGAAATGAACAGCTACCACAGTTAAATCATGGGGACTACCTTGCTCACTTAGTGAGGCCATAAATACCATTCTGCTGCAATCTTGCCTTTTAGCCTAGACTTTGGAAGGACTAAGCAAAGTCCAAGTGAAGTGGAACTGCTCAGCTGGGCAGCAGCTGAGTGCCTTAACTACTCACCCATACAAATTATAAACTACCATAAATTAAAGAAAGAAGATGCTATGCATAGCAACTCGTTTGGTTTGCTAAGAAAGCACAAGTTAACACGCACAGCTTCAAAAAAGACAGCCAAAGTATTAATTTCTTTCCTGTAAGAAAAATGCTCAGGTCAAGGAAAATAAAATTATGTTCACCATCTTACCTGGACAAGCTCTCTGTAAGCAGATTTCGCCAAGTTATAGGGCACCAGAAGATTCGATGCCAGAAAGTAGAGAACTTCCAAGCCGGTGAAAATCATGGCAAATTTGTTGATGACGACAATGGTTTCCAGAGGGACCAGGCAGAGCCGCGCCAGCAGAGGGAGCATGTGCGCGGAGAAGAGCCAGATCTGCTTTGTTTTCATGACGCAGGAGCAGAGCGTACATACCACCAGCTGACCTGAAAACCAGACACAGCATTTTATAATCTAGCTGATTATCCCCTTCAAGAAATAAAAAAAAACCCAACCGTATTTTAATACATTATCTCTTTCCATACCACAGTTATCAACATCCAGCATATGATGCCAGTTCTAACTAGGACATATCTGTTATGAAACCAGGCTCCTCTACTTCTTTTGCTGGGTCACCAAAGTTGCCAGTTTCAAACTCTGGAAAGCACATGCTTTCACTTTATGGATTAGTGACACGTAACCCCAGACGCATGCAGGATCAAATACAGATTAATATGAAGTCCCAGGAGTAAATCATGCAGAGGATAACCCAACAAGCCACCCCTCTTTTTCTTCACCACCCCCAGCTCAACTGAAATCCCATTAGTATCTGTATATGCAGCAGTAGCTTTTCGGAAGCCCAGCTACACTACTATTTCATCCCCAACTACACAAAAAAAAAAAGCAATCAGAGGTCCCAAATGGCTTTTAGAGCAACAGTATTTACACTATCAAGAGGAATTATTGGCCAAGAACAGCAACAGGAGAACAGCCAGGTCAGCAGCTGAGACTTCAATAATTTCATAATACCCTGAGGCAGTTGCTCAAAATTATCATTGAAGCTTTCAAGTGACAGATAATTAACAACAAAATTATCTTTTAACAGTTGGCAGGGACACAAGCACAGGCACATCTCTATCCCACAGACAGAGACTTGGAGGGTGGTATTTCTAGAGCAGACCACTCCAGTATAGCTGCTCCCATTACAATCACTGGAAGTTGTATCCTTTGTCGCAGAGGAAATGGGATGGGACAAAATGCACATTGCCTGGATGAGAACAATTCCCACTCATCATTGTGCAGTAAGGAAAAACTTTATTGCATATTATTTAAAAGCACAACCTCATTCACCATCTATGTTAGTTTTCATCCAAAAGCCACAATGTGGTACCAAACCCAAGCACTCATGCTCTGTTTGGAGCTACTTCCACTGACGCTTGCACTTCACGACTCCTGCCACCAAGGGTTAGTCTTGGCAAAACACAGAATACCAAAATAAAGGCTGTTAACATCTCTAGATCAGCACTAACTCCACATGTTCCCATAAGCTTTCTGACCTTGCAAGCCCTTCTGGATGGGTTGGGGAGAGGTGCTGTGAGGCGAGCAAGCAGTACCAGCGTTCTGCTTTCATTTCACCTAGCTTCCCTACTTAGCAAAGGACTTCTGCTTTCAAAATAACTGCAACTGAGCTGAAAGCAATCTCTAATCTCTACTATTTAAGTATACAAGGTTCTTCCTCCTTCACGCTGTTCTCTTTCAAGCTCAAGTCCTACTGTCAATTTGCTAGATGTATTTTTAAATTAGCAGATGTCCTTTCAGAACAAGTACCCCTGCTCTCAGCAAGACACTATCCGCATACTGGGTCTTAAAGCCTCAGAGAAAGTTACTCTACTCATCTTTTGAGAAGTTAACAGGCTCCAGCTCTGAACCATTCTCCCTCTGCTCTGTTGTTCTCTGCCCACACACACATTGCTACAATCCTATTTAAGATACCACCAGCACACTGCTGTGCTGTAATACTCAGGAGCCTGGCAGTCAGCTTGTGAGGAATTCTGCAACTCCTGGTAACTAAGGCAACCCAGCTTCACACACAAAGGGACACAAATACCAGCACCCAATATGTTCTGTGTCATCATTTGAAATAAAATATTACAACATCAGGTTAAACAATCCAGCACTCTTTGAGATGACTTGTCATTGGAGCTCTCCAATCACAAAATAGGACCTCAGAGTTCATTCAGTCTCACCTCACACAACAGCAAAACCTGCTTTCCTCCCACAGCAATGTGCTGGGTGTCCTGGTCATCCCTGCTAAACTCTTTGGCCCTTCCACCTTTTTAATTTAAACACCCATCAGAAGTTACTTGTCATGGGAAGGAAAGCTGTGCACCATCAAAGGAAATACAGGGAGCACTTTCTTTGGAGGCCCCAACCTCCTTCCTGAATTCTGCATCTTGCCAATTCCCACCTCCTTCATGAAGGGCCTGAAAATTTCTCCAATGGAGCTCCTAGTGACAGGTACTTCCCCCATTTTAAACTGAGGTAGCAGCACCTTGTTTCAGGACAGACAGTCTCTCTCTGCAGTAAATCACAGTTTCTCTCCAAGTGGGGCTGTACACAGTCAGTCATCACACAGAACATAGTCAGACCAGTCAGAAGAAATTAGTTTGTACCTCCTATCAAATCATAAAAAGATTTAGCGCTCTAGCTCTCTGCTAAGACTAGCAAATCCAAATGTACGTTTGCACTCTGTAAACCTAAATGCTGTGGACTGAAAACTGCCAGACACAGCTAATGAACGCGACAGCTGGAATTCCCCTGCAGGACACCAGGCTCCTCTGCTAGGGAATGAGGCAATAAGGATGAAATCTATTGCCTGAAGTTCTTGCCCGTTCTTTTCCCCTCCCAAAACCTCCACAAATACATTAAACAGTGCTGACAGGTAACCAAAGCCTCCCAGCTCATAAGCTGATGAAAATAGTGCAACAAGAAAGCCTATGCAGTACAGATGCCGTTCAAGCCACTCTGAGTAGGGAACTGTCTTTATTTCATTCCCCATTTTAAAAAGCTGATGTTAACATATTTCCTGACTACATCATTAAAATCGTTATGCAAAAACCAGAATGTCTTAAAGTTAATATATAATCCCATTATTGTGCACTAAGAAACAGCAAGTCTTCATGGTAGCATCGTCTCCAAAACCACACAGCTTTGTAACATTCACAGCTGACATGCTCACAAAGTGAGACACTCATCTAAGGGGCAGTCTTCAAAGACATTTATTTGTTCCATCCGTCACTCAGAAACACGTTAGTAACCCTAGTCAACGGTCATCAGACTGAATTAGATGCAGGGGAAGAAATGACTATGAGAGCAAATTCAAAAAGCACTAATGAATAAAAGCACTAGCAAAGATTAAACTTGTGAACCAGCTGGTGTACTGTGCATCACCCCCTTAATTCTGATCAGAACTTTTAGGAACCAGAGCCGTAACAGTAGCATCATTACTCCCCCATGCACCTGCCTCAGTGTCTTTGTCAACAGTGCTGCAGCACAACACTCTGGCAGAACGTGTAAGAAAAAGATGGAGCAAAGCACCTGTATATTCATTTTGCTGTGAAGATGACACAGATCAGTGTAGTACACTCCTGAGTCGTGGCAGATTGCACTGGGCAAACACCTTTGTATGTAACAAATCTGAGAAAGTATTTCACATTTATATAAAACACTGCCAATCCTCATAGCCCACTTTCACAGTTCTTCCCCAAAGACAACTGCTTCCCATGAAGACTAAAATTACACTTTTAAGTTGCCTTTAAAAGAACAGGGGAAATTACTAACGATAGTATTACGTACACACATCTGCTAATATAGTCAAGCACCTGCTTCTGAAGAACAATTACCATAAGGGGACAGCTTAGCCTGACACCCAGTACAACCCAAAACTGTACTGGATAAAACCAGTATTATTTTTTTCTCACTTATTTCTAATTCACATTAAAACTTGGATGAAGCATAATAGGTTTGTGTCTCAGTTTAGTTTCTGTCTAAATGTTACTGAATTACACAAAGTCTCCTGATCTCTTCCTGCCCAGGCCTGCCTGCTGCTTCTTGAAGCTGAGGGACCCTGCAGTGCACCTGAGAGAGATTCAAAGGACTATTTATTAACATTTTCTCGCAGAAACATGCTAAAGGCTTTAGTTGTACTTTGGTGTCATTTGGCCAAACAAAAATACATCTAGAAATTCAGAAGAGATAAGAAATAATATTTAAAGATTTCAGTTCCTTGAAAAATATCAATGTTATTTCTATGAAAAAAAATATTAAAAGCAGAGACAAATAACACATTTGAAAGTAAGGATGGAGGCATACAGGAGATGTACACATTCTGGTAGACCTAACATACTGTAAAGAAGTAAACCCATTTATATCTGCTAGTAGCAGCTGCAAGTAAACAGAAAGCTGCTGAGTTCTGCCAACAGTACACGGCTGACTAGATCTGTCAATAATCTGATGAAAACCATAGATCTTAGTGAAAGGAATTAAGGAAGATTTTTCTTCCAAGCTTGTCTTAGGCTTAATTTTAAAATACATGAGGGGTGTGTGTGTATTCCAATATCCTCTCAGGAGAACATATGGTACAGCATAGCAACTTTAATGCTGATTTTATTCTCTTCCAGTCAAAGTTCAAAGGGTAAGGGAACAATCTAGAAAGTCCAATTCTTCAGGATTTATTTGGGATTTTTTGGTAGAGGAGTCATCTCTGCCATTAATCAAACAATTTAAATGTCATTTTGTCTTGTTACTCTGTAACTCTTTAATTAGAACTATCCCTGGGACTCAGTTTAAAAATAAAAAAAAATAACCTGTAGTCCCATGCACACGCCCACAAATCTATTTCACTGTATTTTTGTGAGAGTATCTTAGTGTTCATCTATAAGGCAAATAAAGAATAAATACTTGTACACTTTTATTGACAAAAGCACTACAAATACATGTCATTATTGACATTTCAACAGTATTTTCCCCAACAAGATTATTATAAACAATCCAGTCCTCCTGAATCCGATTGAGTCTCAGAAGAACATAGGAACAGAGCATGACAAACAGACCTCAAAAATACTTCAAAGCTGCTCGTAGCAGAGTACTGGTAAACCAGTCGCATAGAAAGAGCCAGGCAGGATACACCCAGCCTCCCATGCTTCTTGCATATTAGTAAGAATCACAGCTACTAAAAATGGTAAAAGAAATTTGAAACCACAAGGTAAAATGTGCATAGGTTTCAATCAGGGGAATTAGGCAGAGATCTCTCCTGCATCACAAACGTTTAAAGCACTTACCTACTAGAGCAGTCATGAAACGATTCATAGAGAGAGGTTCCAAGTACATTGGCCCTTCATATCCTGATTCCAATTCACTCCTCACATAATCCCTAAAAAAAAAAACAAACCCAAACTATTAAGATCCATCTGATCAGACAAGAAACAATTTACTCACTCCACACACAGGTAACTTCAGTGTATGTCAACTACCTAAATTACAAAAAGCAACATTAAGACTCCTGTTACAGCAGCCTCCCCGATGTAAGGATCTGACTGAGGCATGACTTAAGCAAGAGAAGTATTATCTGTAATTAGACTCACTGGCATAGCTGTAAAAATCCTTTGGGACATCCAAGCTGTTCTTCAGAGCGTGGCCTGAAACTGCTTATTGACAAAGCCTCTTAAGCACCATTCCATTTTTAAGTATCCTTATTAAGTGTTCTTATTCCTAATAATTTCTTTTCCCACCAGCTCCATGTAAAAAACAAAACACAACACTTGAGAGTTTCACGGAGAGGTTTTCCAATTTAATGCTTACAGTATTTTGCACCTAACAATCTCTTTGTGTTAAATTAAAAGATAGGTATGAAGGAAAAGTGACAGTCATGGACTGGAGTCAGGAACAGAGCTGCTTCATAATCCTTTTATCCAATACAATTTAAAAGTTTAGCTCTATCCTGGGAAACCTGCAGGACCAACTGGATACCCTCAAACTGACAGATTGTTTTGACAGGTACAGTGAGACAGTCTCTGACAGGATATTTCTAATTTCTCTCAGAAAAGGCTGGCTAGGAGGGTAGGCTCAGGCAACCAAAGAAGAAGGTGAGAACTTGAGGAGACTTGGCATTCTTCTGCTGTTGGTGATCATCCATCAGCTGTGCCTTCAAGCAGGCAAACATATATATAACAGAATGTAACTCATATTGGAACTTCATGCCAAGAAAAGCGTTTTGCACCTTCAGAAGGCAATCCTAGAACAGCACTGCAGTAATTCTCCAGGGGCTCCTTAATCCCCTGCCATGAGACAGCAGGCAATACTCATGACCCTTTGCATCCAGATCTCCAGCCCCTTTTTCAGCCTTGCCCTGTGACCCTTCCTTCTCCACTCCCAGGATGGCTGCTGTTCCACCACCAGAAGCCCAGCTAAGCCTGTGCTCACATCTGGCTGATACTGTCCAGTCATTCCTGTCTAGCTGCATCACATCCCACAAGACACACTCGATCTGACCCTGCACGGAGCTAGTAGACTCTGTTTGCTCGAGGGGCATGACACTTCATTTATTACATATTTATTTATATCAGTGAGGCAAGCCACACTTGCTGGGAACAGATGCAGTCAAAGCAAGGCAAACAGCACCAGAAACAACAACCAATATAAAAATTATGCTTTACATTTCAATGCAGAAAAACATGCAGCTCAGTGCTACTGGAAGCATTCACTTCCCCACAGAAAGGTGGGACCAGACCCTTCTTCTAGTAGGAGCTTGCTACTCCAAGCTGAAGTATTCACATTTTCATTTGAAAAAAATCTCTGGAATTCAAGATATAAATCTCAGAGTACTAAAACAAACACTTCAAAGCCTGTTCTTCATAGCTGACAACCCTGCCTACTCACTGCAGCTTTTCAAGTATCATTGTCTATGGGAGGTATGTTGAAATGGGTTCTTTAGACTGTAACCTACAATTAAAAACACATGAGGATTGAAAAGGCATCCAAGACAAACTATTCTAAATAGAATTTTCCCCCCTTGTTATCAAGGTATAGCTAAGCAAAAAGGTTTTTTTCCACCTCCTATCATCCATATAGATGCACTCTTCGAGACAGAGTTGATTTCGTATTTTGGGGGGTTTTGTTTGTTTTTGGTTGGTTTGTTGGTTTATTTTTCCTTCTTTGTCTCACATGAACATGCAGAAAGCACTTTCTGAAAGCATTGGCAACACAAACAGGATAATCCACTGGAGTTAAAGGAAGAAAAATCCACCGTTTACAACATCCCAAAGATGGCTTCTTGTATTAGCAACATTCTGCTCCATCCGCAAACTTCGGGTGAAAACATTGCCTATGTCTAAACTGCTGGAGGAGTAGTGAAGACAAAGTTGCTTCATATCTGTTAGAAAACGGGTTACAAAATCATCCATGATACCAGCTGCAGCAAGATGACCTCACACAACTTAGCCAAGACATACCAACAGAACTGCACTTCCTTTTTGCTTCTTCAACACCAGCAACGTGCCTGGAGACGACCCAAATTCCTTCAAGCTATATTTCTTGCCTATGTCTACCTGATTCAGTCATCTGCACAAAGGTCTGTACTTGGCTTCTTTAAATTACTCTCAATTACTGAGTTCTCGGCCTAGAAGCTTTGATAAGCAATGTTTTAAGATCTAAATTTTTTAAATAGTATTTGTAGATGATGTCTGAATACAGAAAGCCAAAGCAATGATTCTCTTATTACCAGTACAAACACAAGGATTCTGGCACAGACACCAATCAGAAGATGCCTCGAGCAGCTGCAGTGCCATACAAGATGCTGAGAAGAGCAAGTGCCTGCACTCAATTTTCATTAATTAAAGCTGTATTAAGCTGCAGCTTTCAAATTTGAGAATTGTTCACTTTACTGCGTCAACGTAAGAAAACAAGAATGCTAAAATCATTATTTACTAGTTCAAGAAATGACTGAAACTACATTATTACTTTAGAAAATTAGGATATAAGAATAAAGCTTAGATCAGATTGCCTGCTGTTCATTCTGCAGATGCATTCCCAGCCTCATTTAGTCCAACTCTGGACTGGTAACATATGCTCAGGGACAGCCATGACTAACATTGCTCTAAAAAGGTAAAGAGATACGTGACCATTTTTTGTACCTGAAAGTGCAGAAAGGCCTCCTGTTATTAAAAATATGCTCTGTAATTGACTGACATAAGGCACAGTGGGTATCTGACCTAATTGAGTCATATTGCTGACATTTACTTTGGCTGATTAATCTACGCTGCCAACATCAAACACGTTCTCCTATGTTTTAAACGTCTACAGACAACCTTAAAACTAAGTGTATTTTAAGATTATCCATAAGAAACAATTTACTCTTTTGCTCTCCACCCCCATCTTCTCATTCTAAGCTCCATGAGGCTCAGCATTTGGAATACAATCATAACAAAAACATCAAGATAATGATGTAGATTCAATTTTTTAGCATAAACAGTGTGTTTAACTGTATCACTTCTTTCCTGCATAACTGCATATTTTCTTTTCCCAAGTTTTACTGCTGGAAATTGGGAAAAGGAATGTCATCCTTTTAAGCAAGGCATTTGTGCAGCTACGTATAAAACAAAAACAGCACCCATTTTCCTTGTCAAGAGCAGCAGGATTGTGTTTTTTAAAGCTGACTTCTCCTTCTTCCATAAACAGATGTTCTATTATTTCCATCCAAATTGCCAGATTTAACATGCTACATACAAATGTAGCATCTTCTTGGACTCTCCAACTGTTCACAAACATTAGCTAGGCAATCTTTACACGTTAAAGTAATTCTTAGTCTTGCAGATAAGGAAACAAACACTTAGGAAGTTGGGTGACTTGTCAAGGTCACACAGACATGGGAGTCTGAAGTCAGAGCCTGACTAGAAAATTCAGATATTCTTATTCCCAGACTTGCAGCTGAACCACAAGCTATTTCTGGGGTGGAAAAAAGCATTGAAAGCTGGTCTTTCAGCAGCTCAGAATTTCCAGGACACTGCAGAGTCACAAGTGCCAGCTGATTTTGGTCTTGTTCTATAATTTGCATTAACCAGATTGGCCTCAATATGAGACCTCTTCATCTGTCTTAAATACCATCCCAACTGGTAGCACAGCTCATGGGAAGTTTTCAGCTCTAAGCAGAATTACTACCAAAAACCAACTCAGGAACATTTGCACATGTGACTGCTGTGCGTCTTGTTATGATCAGGCTGCTAAATAAAAACATCAGTTGGAACTGGATAGTTTTGGCAACAAAAGGAGTAGCTCCACTAACATATTGTGTTACACTCTACTATTTTCAATATGAGAACTAATAGGATTCAAAAATTCTTTTGAAAAGCTAATGCAAGCAACACTGCCCACATCACACAAAGGCTGCTGCTGAGAACCCCTTGCACGGTGCTTCCTTCCAAACCAAGGCAGCCTCATATCTAGGGAACGGGTGAGCTCACTTAAAACTGTCAGCAACTACATTTGCTTTGCAAACTAGCTAGGGAATACTCCTGGACTACTTGAATCCAAGACATCTTTTAATTAAATATATTTTTTGGTGCCAGTTAATGCAAGACTTAATTAAAGTCTTTATTAACTCACTCCAGAAGCATCAAATAGAGAAGATCTTAGTACGAATACACCAAACAGTCCAAGTAATAGTTACCCATTTCAATGAAACCTGTGAAGTCTGAAACCTCACAAAGCAACGGAAGTCAAAATTCACACTACACAGAAACACAAACAAAATAGGTATAAAAATCGAAACAGTGCTATCCCTTAATCTAGCAATCAAAATTCATACCATCTCCCTTTGTTTTAAAGAATCTGAAGATCCACAATGGCAAAAAGATCTCTAGCTGTAAATGTTCTGGACAGAAGCTCCGTATCCAACAGGCGTTTCTTACTACCTTTATTTTTATGTCAGCATAAGTTCTTAAATAATCCTTAGGTTGCTTTTTCTAATAGGTAAGCCTACCCTATAAGAAATATGAAAAAAACTGAACCTTTAAAAACTCAGGAATCCCCTGAGGAGGCTAAGAAACCCTCTTTCCTTCCTACCCAGGCAATAAGGGGCCATAATTCCTCTCTTGCACTCTCATCCACTCAGGAAATCATTAACTGCAACTCTGACATCCAGAACAGTGCTTTCTCAAGTCACCACAAAACCTTCATCAACACTTCCCTGACCTGCAGTATACCAAGTAAGAAACATGCCAGCAAATGCTTTAGAACAAGTTTTGACACAGAAACAAAAAATATATTACTTAAGTCAACCAAAAGCACAATTTTAAATGTTTCCCATCAGTAGGCACCAGAACAAATCAGGCTCAAGTCCACATTTTCAAAACGTCCTATGCAAAGCCATTAATGTGATGAGACTCTCCTTGGTTCCAATTAATCTTCTTGTCAGTATGGCAGCTACACTGGCTTTCAACAGATCCAGCTGCAGCCAAACGAAGGTGATCCAACTCTGACTCGTCAGATCCAAAAGTTCCTCTTGCTCTGCATTTAGGATCCAAAATGCCTTTCTTTTTGTTTCATTGTAAAATGTATTACATAAGCAAAGATTAATTTAACAATAAATTCCACTATTACTTTACTTTCACCATTTCTGTGTCTCTATTTTCTCTCTCATCGTATGTGCCAGGAAACTACAAGTAATGTCCCGTCTGCTCTGTAGAATGCTCCAGTGTTGAAAGCACGTTAGCTGAGCCATTGAGTAACTCAGACTATTACATCAGGCAACATACTTAGTCTCACAATAAATGTTTTATCTCCTCAGATTAACCAACATTACACGCTACAGAAATATAGATCAAAATTTCTTTTAAGTCAATTAAAATAAACCAGAACTACTTGACTGCATATTTAATTTTATAAACTTATTTCAAGACAAAGAACAGCAACATATATTTGTGTGTCTGGTATAGAACAAAGGCATCCACAAAACCATACCTATCCCATTCATACAAAATACTCAGAAAATATCAGTCATTTTTCTAATTCCCAAACTAAGCAAACAAAGTTAAGCCATTTGTTCTTACCTGGAAATTTGGTGCCCAGCATAAAGCAGCAGTGCAGTCAAAAAGTACAGGTAAAGCTGAACCAGGTGTTGCCTTGGTAAAGTTAGGAGAACAACACTTAAGATGTAACCTGTAACAAAATGCAGAGGTTGGAATTTCAGAAAAACACTAATTCCGAATTTCTGAACATGAATTAACACAAGTTATTAAGATCGCTTTAACCAGCTTTGTTTTCATTTTGTTTTAAAATTCATGTACCTACACTTTCCTCTCCTCAAAACACAAAGCACACAAAAAGCCCTGCCACTTTTTCTTTTTTTTCCTTCATGAACAGAAATAGCTCTACTAGCTTCTGCAAGATTACATCTAGATGTCAAGGAGTGGACTTGAACCACAGAATTTTAACAAGACTTAATTAACATAACCTATGCCACAAAGGGAAAACTGGCCTAGGTCTCCCTTCTCTTCCAAGAGAAAGCAAGTTTCAGTGTTGCAGGGAAAATAGCTTATCCATCCAACAAACTCACTCCACCAAGGTAAAAAATTCTTTTATTCAAGCAAAGGACACACAGAAGACTTTTCCATGTTGATAAGCATTACACATTTTAATTCTTCCACTGTGTCTTCATTGTTTAAAAGACACTTTGCATGCCCATAATTTGAGATGGGGACACAGCCTGTTCTCCATACTAGCAATATTAAAGCACATTCAAGCTATCAGTGGTGCATAAACCAAGGACAAGACGTGGCACAGCCTGGGATTTGTAGGCATTTAATCAGCAGTTCTTCTTGTTAGCATTCAGTAAGATTGTGGAAAAAGACCTGAAGCAGATACGGTTTTACTCTTCAAGACCACAGCCTGGCTGCTTAGCCAGCCTCGCCCAACAAGCAGAACACTGATCCTTTTTTCTTACCTGCTCTCATGAGGGCACTTAAACAGAGCAGTACTTTGAAGTCCACTTCACAACTGGGTGGTACATGTCCATCCAGACAGACTGCAGGTCAAAAGCCCAGCACATGTTGCCCTTACTAACCTTCCTTTCCGAGCCCTCCACCCAATGCAGCGCAGTCACGCTCTCTTTCTGAAGGTCACCTTAAGCACGTGGCACTGAAATCAATTTAGGAAAAAACCCAGTAACAGCTAACAACTTCCCTGCAGCCAAGAACAAAACACTACAGAAGAACTTACCCTGACACTTACAGCTATACTAGTCACATTACATTTCAAGTTTCATCCATCCATTCAGCAGCACTAGGCACAGCCTCTTTAAGCCAGTTAATCTATAGGTTCAGCTTTTTAAAAAGAATGTAACTCAGGATTAGGTACTTGTAAGTAATGAGACAAGCAGTTGCCATGACACCTTGGGAAAACGTTATGTCCCCACAGTTGAAAAAAACTCAAGTAATTGGTAAGTTCCTTTGATTAAAATGAAGTATCATACAAGTCACCATCATTAGTTTCTGTACCGTACCCATATGATCAGAGGATCCACAAAAATGATCAGAGGACTGGAATACACCTCCCATGAGGACAGACTGAGAGAGATGAGGTTGTTCAGTCTGGAGAAGAGAAGGCTCTGGGGAGACCTTACAGCAACTTTTCAGTACTTAAGGGGGGCTTGTCAGAAACATGGGGACAATCTTTTTAATAGGGTCATTAGCGACAGAGGTAATGGCTTTAAAATAAAAGAGGGAAGATTTAGACTAGATAGAAGGAAGAAAGTTTTACCGCACTGAGGCTGGTGAGACACTGTCCCAGGTTGCCCAGAGAGGTGGTCAATGCCTCATCCCTGGAAACATTCCAGGTCAGGCTGGACAGGGCTCTGAGCAACCTGACCTAGTTCAGGACATTGTGTTCACTGCACAGCGGATTTAACTAGATGACCTTTAAAGGTCCCTTCCAACCCAAACCATTTTTTGATTGTATGATTTTTATTTTGAGCTTTTTAAAGGGGCCTGGAACACAGCACTACAATAGTTTCTTTCTAGGAACTGTTTTATACAGAATAACATTTCTAGTTAATACAACATAGAAGTTCTACACAGTGAGTTTTCTTAGTAAACACTGGTATTTTATGGAATTTATCTTCTCTGTTCACCACCTTCCTTCTACCAAATACAAAAGCTATGACAAGATAAGACCATGTCAAGAGCAGGAACTCCTCAGTAGAATCTCCATTAAGACTTTTAACTAGTTTTCACTACACCACAGCATCATGAGCCAGCTCCAGCAGCTCTCACACCATTTGCAGACATTCTTAACACCTCATCTCTGCTGTATTCACCACCTTGCCTTAACCGCTTAGCTAGGAACAATTCTCCCTGCAGAACAATCCATGTGGCACAACCATGGACACCACTGCAGTACTCGTGTTGAATCTCTCTAAACCCTTCCTTCTTACTGTAGCCTGTGACTCACCTTCAGGTGGAGAACTAAATGGAGTTTATTATGTAGTCTTTTATTCCTCTATTACTCTAAAAATAGTCTAAGAATATGTTTACTGTATCTGCATTTAAGCTCTGCCATCTTCTTTACCTTATTCTATCACATCAAAGTCTGCTCCTTGGCCACATGATGATGTAATTGAGTGGTGCTAGGACAATTTGTATAACACAAGACATTTTAGAGGGCAGGAACTGTGCTCCCAACAGCCATGTTACATAGCAGCATATTAGAAGTGACTGAAGTTCGTTCTTGTCTCCATGATCACGACTTTCGCGAAAATATAGCAGCATATATTGAAGGAGTGAAAAAAAGCATCCAAATACAAATCAAAAGATGAGGAGAATACTATCTGTGCCTTTTAAACAGAGGGCTTCCAAACAGCTCAGATGCTTGTAACACTGCACCAGGAAGCAGCACAAAACAACCAAGGTTACTGCAGAAGCTTGAGCAATGAACTCCACTGCTCACGAGCTTGGGCTGGAATTCAAATGTTCACTTTGAAGCAGCCGTTTGCTTTAATTTTTAAGATTTTGAAGAGGGGGAGAGTCAGAGACATTTAAAGTCGTTTCACTCTTATTTACAATTCACTCTTGTGACTTGATAAGGAGAAATTTCAACACTTCATACTGCAATATTTGCATTTTTGCTGCAGAGGCCCTATTCCCAAAGTAGTACCAACCTTGCTTTTATCAACAACGCCTCTTTCAAAAATAAAAAAAAAGCTCGTCACCAAATTGTCTCATTGCAGAAGAAAAGACAGACAAGCTCAAATTCAGACAAACTAGCAGCAAAATCCTATTCCCTTTGTTCTCACACGGACAAACGATGTAATTAGTGCACACCATAAACAAGATTGTACCTCAAATCAAAGGACCAGGAAATAAAATTTCTCACGGCAACTTTATCTAAATCATTACAAGCTGTTTTGATTTGCACCTCCTCTGTTTACAAGAAAACATGATGTTCAGAATATATGTGTGATTCTCCACACACAAGGATTTGCAGTTTGAGAAAGTCACCTTACTGGGTAACCTTCAGGCCTGGGTTAACAGTAACCAATGCTCACTTCATCCAAACCTTTCTGAGCTCTACATCAGCAACAAGCACACCCCTCCCCTCATTTAGGCCATGCTTGCTACTGCCACTCTTGGAACTTGGTGTATAGTCCCTTTTAACTCACCAAATATGTTTTTGTTTAAGTGTAAGGAGCAGGGGCAGTGAAGCCCAATTCCTACCCTGATAAAGAAACCATTGACACACACAGTAATAGAATAGAAGATGAAGAGAGAATAAACTCTTTCCTAAATACAATAGCATTGGCTTAGTGCTAGGTCACCAAGAAACACAACTGCACCCTTAGGCTTCCAGCTGTAAGGAGCACTGCAGAAGACCCATTTTGCCAACCTTACAAATACCCAGACCCACCACTCATGCAGTAGTAGAAGAAAGCAGAGAACTTCTACTGCATCTTGTGCAAGATGGTACAGATTTAAGCCCCATTGCTAGACAAGAAGACATGTATTAACTAGCTCATGATCTCATTTGCAATTTGTTGATTCAGCTAGATGAAAACCTCTCGCAGTGCAATGCTCACTGTTGCAGTAAGTAGCAGCTCACAGACTGCCTTTCAGCAATCTTACTATTTGTCTGCCACCAAGGTGCTTCCCAGCTCCTCTCACCCCATGTTACCTCTCCGCCAACTCAGGTGTCCACGTCTTACCAACATGCTGCACACAACAGAGGCTTCTGGAGCACGATCAAAGTCAAAACCCATCCTCTTTATGAAACACTGTCATGCTCATTTGCATGATTACAGATCCCTTGTGTCCACTTCACATTATTACTCAAAGTTTCCTGCAGGTTTAGTCTAAAAATGAGTACTTTGCACATGAAAGAGTTCATAACACTTCTTAATAAAAATCACACCATCTCTTGGAGTGCCAGAAAGTAAAAGCACAACTGCTTGGATTCTACCAGGAAATTCATTTGAGGGCCCTAACTTCCTACTTACCTGTACTCTATGATGCTAAAGGGTCCATCTCACAGTGACTTGTAAAGTAACTTGCTGTGAAGCACCACGTCACGAGCCACAGAACACTGTCAAAACTCAGTGCGGGATCAGTGCGCTGCTGAGTTAGTCAATCTGTTTCAGCCTAACCCTTGACTGTTGTCATTTCATTTCATTCAGAAAGCTCTGGCCAACACATGAAAGTACCACTAATACAGGACAGACTTCTGAAAGACTGCATTTGATACAGTGAAAGAACTATAACAATTGGCATCATTATATTCAGTGTGTCCAATTCTCAGGGTGGATGATTTTTAAAAGACATACATAGAGAGCTTAAGGTAGTCAAAGAGAAGATTCTGTGGCCTCTTCACTGGAGGCTAGCTCAGGCCCAGAACGAACCCCAACAGCCACAGCCACTTTAAGACACATAAGAGGAGAGACAAAAAGCTCTTGTACATGTTCAACTAGTATTAAGCATCCTGTGAAGGATAATTCAGCCAAATGGGGTCTTCTGAATTGACTGTGACAGCTATACTTCCTCCCAAGCGTAAGACTAGTTCTTCTGCTCTGTTACAAAAGGCAACATCATTCTGCCACCACACAGAATGACCTCTCAGGCATCAGAGGTGTCTGCAACACATGGCTCACGCAAAACACACTCCACTAAAATCAA